TCAGTGTGTGCTCAGTGTGTGCTGATCCTCAGTGTGTGCTGATCCTCAGTGTGTGCTCAGTGTGTGCTGATCCTCAGTGTGTGCTCAGTGTGTGCTCAGTGTGTGCTCAGTGTGTGCTCAGTGTGTGCTGATCCTCAGTGTGTGCTCAGTGTGTGCTGATCCTCAGTGTGTGCTCAGTGTGTGCTGATCCTCAGTGTGTGCTCAGTGTGTGCTGATCCTCAGTGTGTGCTGATCCTCAGTGTGTGCTCAGTGTGTGCTCAGTGTGTGCTCAGTGTGTGCTCAGTGTGTGCTGATCCTCAGTGTGTGCTCAGTGTGTGCTGATCCTCAGTGTGTGCTCAGTGTGTGCTGATCCTCAGTGTGTGCTCAGTGTGTGCTGATCCTCAGTGTGTGCTCAGTGTGTGCTGATCCTCAGTGTGTGCTCAGTGTGTGCTGATCCTCAGTGTGTGCTCAGTGTGTGCTGATCCTCAGTGTGTGCTCAGTGTGTGCTGATCCTCAGTGTGTGCTGATCCTCAGTGTGTGCTCAGTGTGTGCTGATCCTCAGTGTGTGCTCAGTGTGTGCTGATCCTCAGTGTGTGCTGATCCTCAGTGTGTGCTCAGTGTGTGCTCAGTGTGTGCTGATCCTCAGTGTGTGCTGATCCTCAGTGTGTGCTCAGTGTGTGCTGATCCTCAGTGTGTGTTCAGTGTGTGCTCAGTGTGTGCTCAGTGTGTGCTCAGTGTGTGCTCAGTGTGTGCTGATCCTCAGTGTGTGCTCAGTGTGTGCTCAGTGTGCTGATCCTCAGTGTGTGCTCAGTGTGTGCTCAGTGTGTGCTCAGTGTGTGCTCATCCTCAGTGTGTGCTCAGTGTGTGCTGATCCTCAGTGTGTGCTGATCCTCAGTGTGTGCTCAGTGTGTGCTGATCCTCAGTGTGTGCTGATCCTCAGTGTGTGCTGATCCTCAGTGTGTGCTGATCCTCAGTGTGTGCTCAGTGTGTGCTCAGTGTGTGCTGATCCTCAGTGTGTGCTCAGTGTGTGCTCAGTGTGTGCTGATCCTCAGTGTGTGCTCAGTGTGTGCTGATCCTCAGTGTGTGCTGATCCTCAGTGTGTACTGATCCTCAGTGTGTGCTCAGTGTGTGCTCAGTGTGTGCTCAGTGTGTGCTCAGTGTGTGCTGATCCTCAGTGTGTGCTCAGTGTGTGCTGATCCTCAGTGTGTGCTGATCCTCAGTGTGTGCTGATCCTCAGTGTGTGCTGATCCTCAGTGTGTGCTCAGTGTGTGCTCAGTGTGTGCTCAGTGTGTGCTCAGTGTGTGCTGATCCTCAGTGTGTGCTGATCCTCAGTGTGTGCTGATCCTCAGTGTGTGCTGATCCTCAGTGTGTGCTCAGTGTGTGCTGATCCTCAGTGTGTGCTCAGTGTGTGCTCAGTGTGTGCTCAGTGTGTGCTGATCCTCAGTGTGTGCTGATCCTCAGTGTGTGCTGATCCTCAGTGTGTGCTGATCCTCAGTGTGTGCTCAGTGTGTGCTCAGTGTGTGCTCAGTGTGTGCTGATCCTCAGTGTGTGCTGATCCTCAGTGTGTGCTGATCCTCAGTGTGTGCTGATCCTCAGTGTGTGCTCAGTGTGTGCTGATCCTCAGTGTGTGCTCAGTGTGTGCTGATCCTCAGTGTGTGCTGATCCTCAGTGTGTGCTGATCCTCAGTGTGTGCTCAGTGTGTGCTCAGTGTGTGCTCAGTGTGTGCTGATCCTCAGTGTGTGCTGATCCTCAGTGTGTGCTGATCCTCAGTGTGTGCTCAGTGTGTGCTGATCCTCAGTGTGTGCTCAGTGTGTGCTGATCCTCAGTGTGTGCTGATCCTCAGTGTGTGCTCAGTGTGTGCTCAGTGTGTGCTCAGTGTGTGCTCAGTGTGTGCTGATCCTCAGTGTGTGCTCAGTGTGTGCTCAGTGTGTGCTCAGTGTGTGCTGATCCTCAGTGTGTGCTGATCCTCAGTGTGTGCTGATCCTCAGTGTTTGCTCAGTGTGTGCTGATCCTCAGTGTGTGCTGATCCTCAGTGTGTGCTCAGTGTGTGCTCAGTGTGTGCTCAGTGTGTGCTCAGTGTGTGCTGATCCTCAATGTGTGCTCAGTGTGTGCTGATCCTCAGTGTGTGCTCAGTGTATGCTGATCCTCAGTGTGTGCTCAGTGTGTGCTGATCCTCAGTGTGTGCTCAGTGTGTGCTGATCCTCAGTGTGTGCTGATCCTCAGTGTGTGCTCAGTGTGTGCTGATCCTCAGTGTGTGCTCAGTGTGTGCTCAGTGTGTGCTCAGTGTGTGCTGATCCTCAGTGTGTGCTCAGTGTGTGCTCAGTGTGTGCTCAGTGTGTGCTCAGTGTGTGCTGATGCTCAGTGTGTGCTCAGTGTGTGCTGATCCTCAGTGTGTGCTGATCCTCAGTTTGTGCTCAGTGTGTGCTCAGTGTGTGCTGATCCTCAGTGTGTGCTGATCCTCAGTGTGTGCTGATCCTCAGTGTGTGCTGATCCTCAGTGTGTGCTCAGTGTGTGCTCAGTGTGTGCTGATCCTCAGTGTGTGCTGATCCTCAGTGTGTGCTGATCCTCAGTGTGTGCTCAGTGTGTGCTCAGTGTGTGCTCAGTGTGTGCTGATCCTCAGTGTGTGCTGATCCTCAGTGTGTGCTGATCCTCAGTGTGTGCTCAGTGTGTGCTGATCCTCAGTGTGTGCTGATCCTCAGTGTGTGCTCAGTGTGTGCTGATCCTCAGTGTGTGCTCAGTGTGTGCTCAGTGTGTGCTCAGTGTGTGCTCAGTGTGTGCTGATCCTCAGTGTGTGCTCAGTGTGTGCTCAGTGTGTGCTGATCCTCAGTGTGTTCTCAGTGTGTGCTCAGTGTGTGCTCAGTGTGTGCTCAGTGTGTGCTGATCCTCAGTGTGTGCTCAGTGTTTGCTGGTCCTCAGTGTGTGCTCAGTGTGTGCTGATCCTCAGTGTGTGCTCAGTGTGTGCTGATCCTCAGTGTGTGCTCAGTGTGTGCTGATCCTCAGTGTGTGCTCAGTGTGTGCTCAGTGTGTGCTCAGTGTGTTCTGATCCTCAGTGTGTGCTCAGTGTGTGCTCAGTGTGTGCTGATCCTCAGTGTGTGCTGATCCTCAGTGTGTGCTCAGTGTGTGCTCAGTGTGTGCTCAGTGTGTGTTTATCCTCAGTGTGTGCTCAGTGTGTGCTGATCCTCAGTGTGTGCTGATCCTCAGTGTGTGCTCAGTGTGTGCTCAGTGTGTGCTGATCCTCAGTGTGTGCTGATCCTCAGTATGTGCTGATCCTCAGTGTGTGCTCAGTGTGTGCTGATCCTCAGTGTGTGCTCAGTGTGTGCTGATCCTCAGTTTGTGCTCAGTGTGTGCTCAGTGTGTGCTCTGTGTGTGCTCAGTGTGTGCTGATCCTCAGTGTGTGCTCAGTGTGTGCTGATCCTCAGTGTGTGCTCAGTGTGTGCTCAGTGTGTGCTGATCCTCAGTGTGTGCTCAGTGTGTGCTCAGTGTGTGCTCAGTGTGTGCTGATCCTCAGTGTGTGCTGATCCTCAGTGTGTGCTGATCCTCAGTGTGTGCTCAGTGTGTGCTGATCCTCAGTGTGTGCTGATCCTCAGTGTGTGCTGATCCTCAGTGTGTGCTGATCCTCAGTGTGTGCTCAGTGTGTGCTCAGTGTGTGCTCAGTGTGTGCTCAGTGTGTGCTGATCCTCAGTGTGTGCTGATCCTCAGTGTGTGCTCAGTGTGTGCTGATCCTCAGTGTGTGCTCAGTGTGTGCTGATCCTCAGTGTGTGCTCAGTGTGTGCTGATCCTCAGTGTGTGCTGATCCTCAGTGTGTGCTGATCCTCAGTGTGTGCTCAGTGTGTGCTCAGTGTGTGCTCAGTGTGTGCTCAGTGTGTGCTCAGTGTGTGCTGATCCTCAGTGTGTGCTGATCCTCAGTGTTTGCTCAGTGTGTGCTGATCCTCAGTGTGTGCTGATCCTCAGTGTGTGCTGATCCTCAGTGTGTGCTCAGTGTGTGCTCAGTGTGTGCTCAGTGTGTGCTGATCCTCAGTGTGTGCTCAATGTGTGCTCAATGTGTGCTGATCCTCAGTGTGTGCTCAGTGTGTGCTGATCCTCAGTGTGTGCTCAGTGTGTGCTGATCCTCAGTGTGTGCTCAGTGTGTGCTGATCCTCAGTGTGTGCTGATCCTCAGTGTGTGCTCAGTGTGTGCTGATCCTCAGTGTGTGCTCAGTGTGTGCTCAGTGTGTGTTGATCCTCAGTGTGTGCTCAGTGTGTGCTCAGTGTGTGCTGATCCTCAGTGTGTGCTGATCCTCAGTGTGTGCTCAGTGTGTGCTCAGTGTGTGCTCAGTGTGTGCTGATGCTCAGTGTGTGCTCAGTGTGTGCTGATCCTCAGTGTGTGCTCAGTGTGTGCTGATCCTCAGTGTGTGCTCAGTGTGTGCTGATCCTCAGTGTGTGCTCAGTGTGTGCTGATCCTCAGTGTGTGCTCAGTGTGTGCTGATCCTCAGTGTGTGCTGATCCTCAGTGTGTGCTCAGTGTGTGCTCAATGTGTGCTCAGTGTGTGCTGATCCTCAGTGTGTGCTCAGTGTGTGCTCAGTGTGTGCTCAGTGTGTGCTCAGTGTGTGCTCAGTGTCTGCTGATCCTCAGTGTGTGCTGATCCTCAGTGTGTGCTCAGTGTGTGCTCAGTGTGTGCTGATCCTCAGTGTGTGCTGATCCTCAGTGTGTGCTGATCCTCAGTGTGTGCTGATCCTCAGTGTGTGCTCAGTGTGTGCTGATCCTCAGTGTGTGCTCAGTGTGTGCTGATCCTCTGTGTGTGCTCAGTGTGTGCTCAGTGTGTGCTGATCCTCAGTGTGTGCTGATCCTCAGTGTGTGCTGATCCTCAGTGTGTGCTCAGTGTGTGCTGATCCTCAGTGTTTGCTGATCCCCAGTGTTTGTTGATCGACTCCCCGACCTCAGTGTTTGCTGATCGACTCCCCGTCCTCCGTGTTTGTTGATCGACTCCCCGACCTCTGACCTCTGACCTCCCACCCCCCTTTTTTTTTGGTTCCCCCCCCCCAGGGCCAAGTACTTCAAGGGGAAGAAGATCCACGGCGACGTCGACATCAAAGTCGAGCAGGTGAGCTCGGCCGGGGGTGAGGTCCCGAGTGCGAATCACGCGGTCGTGCGCTTTAGTATTTTCAGCGTTCGTTTTAAATACGTGTTTATTTTATTAATGGACATATTTGCTTTAAATATCCACCGATGAATTCGTTTTCAGCGTCTGTTGTAAATATATATATTTATTTTAAATATTTAAATATTCGACTTCTACACGGAATGTCGACTTATCGTTTATGATGATCAGCATTTATTTTAAACATTTACTGATTTTATTTTCAGCGTTTATTTTAAATATATATTTTAAATCTTTATTGATGAATTCATTTTCAGCATTTATTTTAAACATTGGTTTATTAAATATTTAAATATTCGACTCCTACACAGGATGCGATCTGATTTGTTGTTTATGATGATCAGTATTTATTTTAAATATTGATTTATTTTCAGTATTTATCGATGCATTCATTTTCAGTATTTATTTTAAACATTTTTTTTATTTTAAATATGCATCGATGCATTCATTTTCAGCGTTTTAAATATATATTGTAAATATCTGTTGATAATAATTCATTTTCGGCATTCGTTTTAAACATTGATTTATTTTGAATATCCATCGATTCATTCATTTTCAGCGTTTATTTTAAACATTTATTTTAAGTATTTATCGATGAATTCATTTTCAGTATTTATTTTAAATATTGATTTAAGTATTTATCGATGCCTTCATTTTCCACGTTTGTCCTAAATACGTTTGTTTACGTTAATAATAAATATATACATTTATTTTATTTTCATCCTACCCATCGATGCCTTCATTTTTCCGTGTTTTACACATTTCTTTATTTTTAACTCTTTTCCGCGTGTTTATTTTATTTTATTTCATTTTATTTTATTTTATTTTATTTTATTTTATTTTATTCCCCCCCCCAGGCCGAGTTCTCGGACCTGCACCTGGTGGCGCGCGGCGGGGGCGTTGGCGGCGCCGGGTTCTCGGTGGCCGTGGAGTCGCTGCGGAATGGGGTCCGGGCGGTGAGGTCAGTGCGCGTGGGGTGATCAATTATTCAGTCGACAAACGCGATCAGTTATTCAGTCGACAAACGCGATCAGTTATTCAGTCGACAAACGCGATCAGTTATTCAGTCGACAAACGCGATCAGTTATTCAGTCGACAAACGCGATCAGTTATTCAGTCGACAAACGCGATCAGTTATTCAGTCGACAAACGCGATCAGTTATTCAGTTGACAAACGTGATCAGTTATTCAGTCGACAAACGCGATCAGTTATTCAGTCGACAAACGTGATCAGTTATTCAGTCGACAAACGCGATCGGTTATTCAGTCGACAAACGCGATCGGTTATTCACTCGACAAACGTGATCAGTTATTCAGTCGACAAACGCGATCGATTATTCAGTCGACAAACGCGATCGGTTATTCAGTCGACAAACGCGATCAGTTATTCAGTCGACAAACGCGATCGGTTATTCACTCGACAAACGCGATCAATTATTCAGTCGACAAACGCGATCGGTTATTCAGTCGACAAACGCGATCGGTTATTCAGTCGACAAACGTGATCAGTTATTCACTCGACAAACGCGATCAGTTATTCAGTCGACAAACGTGATCGATTATTCAGTCGACAAACGCGATCAGTTATTCAGTCGACAAACGCGATCAGTTATTCAGTCGACAAACGCGATCAGTTATTCAGTCGACAAACGTGATCGATTATTCAGTCGACAAACGCGATCAGTTATTCAGTCGACAAACGTGATCAGTTATTCACTCGACAAACGTCCGTGACGCCATCGCATTATCGGTTATTCACTCGACAAACGTCCACGACGTATTGCACGCATAATTAATGAACATAAAATTAAAATATTGCGTGCATAACGAATGAACATAAAAATTAGAATATTATGCACTTAATCAATAAATATAAAATTAGAATGTTGCATGCATAATTGATAAATATAAAACTAGAATATTGTATGCTTAATCAATAAATATAGAAATTAGAATATTTTATGCATAATTAATGAATATAAAAATTAGAATATTGTATGCTTAATCAATAAATGTAAAATTAGAATGTTGCATGCATAATTAATGAATGAAAATTACAATCTTGTATGCATAATGAATGAATATGAAATTAGAATACTGTGTGCATAATGAGTGAGTATTAAAATGATAATATTGCGTGCGTAATCGATAAGTAAATATAAAAAAGAATAAGAATCGTGCGTATATTCAATCAATAAATATAAAATCAGAGTATTGTATACGAAATAAATATAAAATTAGAATATCTTCAAATAACATACATAAAATTAGAATATGGATTGCACAATAAACAAAAAATGAGAACGCTGCATACGTAATACATATAAAATTGGAATATTGTTAGATCATAAATATAAAATTAGAATATTGCACGCATAATAAATATAAGATTAGAATATTGCATGCATAATAAACATAAAATGAGAATATTGCATGCATAATGAACATACAATTAAAATATCGTTGCACAATGTATGTGAAATTAGAATATTGCGTGCATAATAAATATAAAATCAGAATATTGTCAGATAATGAATATAAAATTGGAATATTTCATGCATAATAAATATAGATTTGGAATATTGCATGCCTAATGAGTGACTATAAAATTAGAGTGTCGAATGCATAATAAACATTCAATTAGAATGTCGTTACATAATAAAAATAAAATCGGAATATTGTCAAATAATATGCGTAAAATTGGAACATTGCATGCATAATAAATATAAAATTGGAATGTCATCAAATAATAAATGTAAAATTAGAATATTTGATGCATGATAAATAAATATAATAAATAGAATTATTATAAATACAATATTGTATACATAATGAATATAAAATTGGAATATTGCATGCACAATAAATATAAAAATTAGAATATTGCACACATGATAAATATAAGATTAGAATATTGTCAGATAATACATATAAAACTAGAGTATTGTGAAACAATTTACATAAAATTAGAATAACGCATGCACGATAAATATAAAATAAGAATATTGCATCGATCATAAATGTAAAACTAGAATATCGCATGCATAATAAATATAAAAATTAGAATACCATCAAATAACAATGATAAAATCGGAATATTTTATGCATCATAAGCATAAAATTAGAATATTGTCAAACAATAAACGTACAATTAGAATATCATCAAATAATAATTATAAAATTAGAATATTTTATGCATGATAAATAAATATAAAATCGGACTATTGTGTGCATAATAAACATAAACTTGGAATATCGTTATATTATACATATAAAATTAGAATACTGCGCGCATAATAAACATACAATTGGAATACTGCACACATAATGAATATAAAATTAGAATATCACACGCATAATGAATATAAAATTAGAATTTCGCACGCATAATGAATATAAAATTAGAATATCACACGCATAATAAATATAAAACTGGAATATTTTATGCGTGATAAATATGAAATTAGAATATCATCAAATAATATTTTTAAAATTAGGATATTGCATGCATAATAAATATAAAATTGGAATATTGCATGCATAATGAGTAAATATAAAATTAGAGTATCGCATACATGATGAATAAATAAACATAAAAATTAGAATATCATCAAATAATGAATATAAAATTAGAATATCGCGGGCATGATGAATATAAAATTACAATATCACACACCTAATAGACATAATAAAATTAGAATATCGCACGCATAATCAATATAAAATCGGAATATTTTATGCATGATAAATAAATATGAAATTAGAATATCATCAAATAATAAAATTGGAACATTGCACGCACAATGAATATAAGATTAAATTAATTAATATCAGTATCAACATTAATTATTGTGAACCAACTATCATTAATTAATATTCGTATATTAATTCGAATATCGCATGCATAATAAATATGAAACCGGAATATTATTTTATATTTTCCGCCCCCAGGTCCGTGCGCCCCGACTTCGTGCTCGTCCGCCAGCCCCCCGTCCCCGCCCCCGCCCCCACCTCCTCCTCGAACCCCGGGCGCCGCGGCGGCGACTTCCGCAGCCTGGTCATCGGCCTGCAGTACGCGGGCGTCCCCAGCGTCAACTCCCTGCACTCCGTCTACAACTTCTGCGACAAACCCTGGGTGGTGAGTGCGAGGCCTCCCCCCCCGGGGGGGGCGGGGCCCGGGTTCGAGTCTCCCGGGTTCGAGGTCCCGAGATCGAGTCGAGTCCCGAGTTCGAGTCCCGAGTTCGAGTCTCCTGGGGTGGGTCCCGGGTTCGAGTCGAGTCCCGGGTTCGAGGTCCCGAGTTCAAGTCGAGTCCCGGGTTCGAGTCCCGAGTTCGAGTCTCCTGGGGTGGGTCCCGGGTTCGAGGTCCCAGGTTCGAGTCACAAGTTCGAGTCCCCTGGGGTGGGTCCCGGGTTCGAGTCGAGTCCCGGGTTCGAGGTCCCAGGTTCGAGGTCCCGGGTTCGAGGTCCCGGGTTCAAGTTCCCTTGTCCGCCGGGGAACGGGTCCCGAGTTCGAGTCGAGGACCCAGGTTCGAGTCCCGAGTTCAAGTACCCCGAAGCGGGTCCCGGGTTCGAGTTCTGGGTTCGAGTCCCCCGGTTTTCGAGTCCCGAGTTCCAGTCGAGGTCCCGGGTTCGAGTCCCCCGGGTTCGAGTCCCGAGTTCCAGTCGAGTCCCGAGTTCGAGCCCCCCCGTGTTTGAGTCCCGAGTTCGAGCCGAGGACCCGGGTTCGAGTCCCGAGAAAATTAGAGGGTTGTGTGCGTGATAAACATAAAAATCATAACGCAGCGTGTACAATCAATGAGAATAGAATCCGAACGCTGGGTGCCGGGTACCCAGATAAATATAAAACGTGACTGACCTCGAACTCGGGACCCGCTCGTTAATTATGCATGCGACATTCTGATTTCTATATTCATGCTCATTATGCGTGCGATACTCTGTTTTTATATTTATTTATCATGCATGCGATTTACTAATTTCATGTTTATTACGCGTGCGATATTCTGATTTTATGTCTATTAATTATGCATGCGATATTCTAATTTCTATATTCATTATGCGTGCGATACTCTGAGTTTATATTTATTGTATACACACATAAAAGAGTATATGAAATATATATATATGTAATGAATAAATATAATGAATATAAAATTAGAATATCGCATGCATAATAAACATAAAAATTAGAATATTGTGTACATAATAAATAAATATAAAATAAGAGTATCGCACGCATAATGAATATAAAATTAGAATATCGTATGCATAATTAATAAACACGACATTAGAATTTCGCATGCGTAATAGATATAAAAATCAGAATACTGCATGCATAATAAACATGAAGTTGGAATACCGCCAGATAATAAATATAAAATCAGAATATCGCATGCATAATTAATGAGCATAAAATCAGAATATCACATGCATAATTAATGAGCATGAAATTAGAATGCCGCATGCATAATAGACATAAGAATTAGAATATTGTATACATGACAAATATAAATCAGAAAATCGCATGCATAATGAATATAAAATTAGAATATCGCATGCATAATAAACATAAAACTAGTAAATTGCATGCATGATAAATAAATATAAAATCAGAGTATCGCACGCATATTGAATATAAAAAGTAGAATGTTGCACGCATGATGAATATAAAATTAGAACATTGCATGCATAATTAATAAACATAAACATTGGAATTTCGCATACAAAATAGACATAAAAATTAGAATATTGCATGCATAATAAACATAAGAATTAATAAATCGCATGCATAATAAATAAATAAATATAAAATCAGAGTATCGCATGCATAATGAACATAAAATCAGAATATCGCATGCATAATTAATAAACATGACATTAGAATACCGCATGCATAATAAATGTAAAACTAGAACATTGCATGCATACCTAATAAACATGAAATTAGAATTTCACATGCGTAATAGATATAAAAATTAGAATATTGTATGCATAATAAACATGCACTTGGAATACCGTCAGATAATAAACATAAAATCAGAATTCCGCATGCATAATAAATGAGCATAAAAATCAGAATTCCGCATGCATGATTAACGAGCATAAATTAGAATGCCGCATGCATGATTAATGAGCATAAAATTAGCATGCTGCATGCATAATTAACGAGCACAAAACCAGAATACCGCATGCATAATTGATGAGCATGAATTAGAGTGCCGCATGCATAATTAACGAGCACAAAAATCAGAATGCCGCACGCATAATTAACGAGCACAAATTAGAATTCCGCATGCATAATTAACGAGCATAAATTAGCATGCCGCACGCATAATTAACGAGCAGAAATTAGCATGCCGCACGCATGCTTAACGAGCCCCGCCCCCGCCGCCCCCCCAGTTCGCCCAGATGCTCCGCCTGCGCAGGACGCTCGGCGCCGAGGACGAATTCCCGCTCATCGCGCAGACTTTCTACCCCAGCCACAGGGAGATGGTGAGGGGGGCGGGGCCTGGGGGTCGCGGGGGCGGGGCCTGGGGGTCGCGGGGCGGGGCCTGGGTCCGCGGGGGCGGGGCCTGGTGGTCGCGGGGGCGGGGCCTGGGGGTCGCGGGGGCGGGGCCGCGGGGGCAAACTGTAGGGCGCCGGGGGAAAACAGTTTTGCTTCCGGTTTTATTTTTATTTTATTTTGTTGATTTAATTTTATTTTTTAATTTTTTTTATTTATTTTTCAATTTTTTTTTTTTTTTTTTTTTTAATTAAAACACTGTTTGGCCAATGGCTCAGACATATTCCTAGCTAGCTCTTACATAAATTAACCCATTTCCATTAGTCTATGTATTACCACATGGTTGTGGCATTACTTCATTTTCTACGAGTCTTCTTTCCTCCGGGGCTGGCTGGCGGCTGCCTGACTGCCTACTCTCTCTCTATCTCTGTTTGGATTTCCTGCCTAGCTTTACTCTGCTAAGCTATTGGCCAAAACAACTTTATTAATCAACCTATAAAAGCAACACATATACAGAAGGGCATCCCACACCATCCATCTGTCTATGTATACCCTCTACTGTGTGCCCTTGTCCTAAGTCACCAGGAAGGAGGGACTCTGTTGTCTGAGTTTCTGTCCCTTTCCATTCCGCAGTCATTAAGTCCCAAAGAAATCACACAGAGGTCTACATTAGTTATAACCGGATTGGCCTAGTAGCTCAAACTTCTTATTAACTCTTTTTTTTTTTTTTTTTTTTAATAATTTTTTTTATTAAGAAAAGAAGAAAAAAAAACATAAACAAAAAACAAGTTTCCACCTCCTCCCAGCCTCCCATTTCCCTCCCCCTCCTCCCACCCTTCTCCCCCTCCTCCCACCCTTCTACCCCTCCCCCCACTCCTCTCCCCCTCCCTCTCCAGTCCACAGAGCAGTCCAGGTTCCCTGCCCTGTGGTAAGTCCTAGGTCCTCCCCCCTCCGTCCATATCTAGGAAGGTGAACATCCAAACTGGCTAGGCTTCCACAAAGCCAGCACATTAAGTAGGATCAAAACCCCGTGCCATTGTCCTTGGCGTCTCATCAGCCCTCATTGTTCGCCATGTTCAGAGAGTCCGGTTTTATCCCATGCTTTTTCGGTCACAGTCCAGCTGGCCTTGGTGAGCTCCCAGTAGATCAGCTCCACTGTCTCAGTGGGTGGGTGCACGCCTCGTGGTCCCGACTTCTTTGCTCAAGTTCTCCCTCCTTCTGCTCCTCATTGGGACCTTGGGAGCTCAGTCCAGTGCTCCAGTGTGGGTCTGTCTCTGTCTCCATCCATCACCAGATGAAGGTTCTTTATAAGTAATTTGGCCATTTTTCAATTTTTATTTATTTATTTTTATTTTACTTATTTTTATTTTTTATTTATTTATTTTTATTTATTTATTTATTTATTTATTTTTATTTATTTTGCTTATTTTAATTTTTCATTTATGTGTTTTTATTTATTTTACTTATTTTTATTTTTCATTTATGTGTTTTTATTTATTTTATTTATTTTCATCTTTTATTTATTTTTATTTATTTTTTTATTTTTCATTCATTTGTTTTTATTTATTTTACTTATCTTAATTTTTCACTTATTCATTTTTATTTATTTCACTTATTTTCATCTTTTATTTGTGTGCTTATTAAAGATCCCCCTCCCCAAAAGTTTTCCTTTCTTTGTCATTTTATTTTTATTTTTTCTTATTATTTTTAAATTTATGTGTTTTTATTTATTTTTTTCATTGATTGATTCGTTGATTCATCCCTCTGCGGACGCCGGGACTCGAACTTGGGACCCCGGCGCGCCGACCCCCCCCCCGGCCCTGAAACGTTTAATTGTTTTTTTTAATCTCGATTTTATTTCGAATCGTCGTTTGCCGTCCTAATCGCGGGATCACGTGGGGGGCCTGGGAGACGGCAACGGGGTCCCGAGTTCGAGTCCTGGCCCCCGACGTCCTGCCCTGGCTGCGCGAGAAAGGTTGCGGGCGCGAGAAAGTTCACGGGCGTGGGTTCGAGAAAGGTCACGGGCGTGGGTGCGAGAGAAAGGTCGCGGGCGTGGGCGAGAAAGGTCGCGGGTGCGAGAAAGGTCACGGGCGCGGGTGCGAGAAAGGTCGCGGGTGCGAGAAAGGTCGCGGGTGTGAGAAAGGTCACGGGCGCGGGTGCAAGAAAGGTCGTGGGTGCGAGAAAGGTCGCGGGCGCGAGAAAGGTCACGGGCGTGGGTTCGAGAAAGGTTGCGGGCACGAGGAAGGTCGCGCTCCATCGGGATCCGAGTTCGAGTCCCGGTGGCTCACGGCCGTCCGCCCCGCGGGATCCCGCGCGCGCGTGTGCGTCGTCGATCAACAAACGCACGGATCAATAATCAACAAGGTCAATCCCCTGCCTCCGCCCCCCCCAGGTCAGCAGCGCCTCGTTCCCCGTGGTCGTGAAGATGGGGCGCGCGCACGCCGGGACGGGCAAGGCGAGTCTGGTTTATTCCACTCTCGTGTTTGGTGTTAATTCAATTTTGTATCATTTTCAATTTTATTTTTTATGATTACGTTATTTTATTTTCATTTTATTTCTTTTTGTTTTATTTTTAATTTTACTATTTATAGTTATATTATTTTATTTTTATTTTATATTTTATTTCATTTTCAATTTTATTTTTATAATTATGTTATTTTTATCTTATTTTATTTCTTTTTATTTTATTTTTAATTTTACTGTTTATCATTATATTATTTTATTCTTATTCTACTTCTTATATTTTTATTTTAAATTTTATCTTTCATAATTATTTTATTTTCTATTTTGTTTCGTGTTTCATTGGACTTTTTGTATCTACGTTATTTCATTTTTATTATCTTCACCTTTATTTCGTTTTTCGTGTCCACTTTACTTCTCATTTCGTTTTCAATGTCGTATTTCCTTTTGTTTCATATTTATTTTAATCACATTTTTGTTTTGTTTTATTTTTTATTTTGCATTTATCTTTAATTACATTTCTAGTTTATTTCTTTATCTTAGTTTTTATTTTATTTTTACTTTATTTTATTTTTATTTTTTTATTTTTTATTTTATTTTTTATATTTATCTTAATTTTCATTTTCATTTTATTTTTTATTTTATTTTTTATTTTTATTTTATATTTTATATTTTATTTTATTTTAAATTTTATTTTTATAATTATGTTATTTTTATCTTATTTTATTTATTTTATATTTTATTTTTTTATTTTTAATTTTATTTTTATTTTATTATTTTTTATTTTATTTTTTATTTTATATTTATCTTAATTTTTATTTTATTTTATATTTTATTTTTATTTTATTTTTACTTTATTTTATTTTTATTTTATTTTTTATCTTTATATTTTATTTTATTTTCATTTTTATCTCATTAATTTCTTATCTTTATTTCATTTCCCCGCAGGTCCGGGCCGACTCCCCGCCCGCCTTCCGCGACACCGCGGGCCTGGTCGCGCTCTCCCGCTCCTACGCCACCGCCGAGCCGTTCGTCGACGCCAAGTACGACGTCCGCGTGCAGAAGATCGGGCGCAGCTACCGGGCCTACATGTGAGGTCGCGGGGTCGCGGTGGGGTCGGGGGTCGCCGGGGGGGGGTCGGGGGGTCGGGGGTCGCGGCGGGGTCGGGGGTCGGGGGTCACGGCGGGTTCAGATTTGGGGGTTTGGGGTTCAGGGGGGTCACGGGCTCGGGGGTCACAGTGGGGTCGGGGGTCGCGGCGGGGTCGCGGTGAATTCGGGGATTCCAGTGGGGTCGGGGGTCGCAGTGGGGTCGGGGGTCAGCGGGGTTGGGGGTCGGGGGGTTTCAGGGGTCGCGGCGGGGTCAGAGGTCAGGGGTTGGGGGGTCGCGGCGGGGTCACGGTGAATTCGGGGGTCACAGTGGGGTCGGGGGTCAGGGCTCAGGGGGTCAGAGGTCGGGGGTCGCGACCCCGTGCACCCTCTCCCCCCCCAGGCGGACGTCGCTGTCTGGGAACTGGAAGAGCAGCGCGGGCTCGGCCGTCCTGGAGCAGATCGCCGTGTCAGACCGGTGAGGGGTCCCGGGTTCGAGTCCCGGGTTCGAGTCAGGGGTTAGCGAGGTCCCGGGTTCGAGTCCCGGGTTCGAGTCAGTGGTTAGCGAGGTCCCGGGTTCGAGTCCCGGGTTCGAGTCAGTGGTTAGCGAGGTCCCGGGTTCGAGTCCCTGGTTCAAGTCCCCAGTGGTTAGCGAGGTCCTGGGTTCGAGTCCCCAGTGGTGAGCGAGATCCGTCCCGAGTTCGAGTCCCGAGGGAGGGGGGAGGGGCGGCCCCGTGGTTAGCGAGGTCCCGGGTTCGAGCTCCCGGCGTGTCGGACGGGTGAGGGGGACACGGAGGGGCGGCTCAGTGGTTAGAGCGGCACCTGCTCTTCCTGAGGCCCCGGGTTCGAGTCGCGGCGACGAGCTGCCCCGTCCCTCGTTTTCGGGGGCGTGTTCAAGTCGCCTTGGGTTTTTGATTTTCTGTTATTTTTATATTTTATTTATTTTTTATTTTATTTTATTTTATATTTTCTTTCATTTTTTATTTTATATTTTATTTATTTTACATTTTATTTTATTTTATATTTTATTTTATTTTTATTTTTTTTACTTTTTTTATGTTTTTTATTTTATATTTTATTTTTTATTTTATTTTATTTTTATTTTGGATTTTTTTATTTTATTTTTATTTTATTTTTTATTTTATTTCTTATTTTATTTTATTTTATTTTCTATTTTATTTATTTTATTTTTATATTCGGTGTCCCCCCGTCTTGGCAGGTACAAGCTGTGGGTGGACACGTGCGCCGAGATTTTCGGGGGCCTCGACATCTGCGCGGTGGAGGCGCTGCACGGCACGGACGGGCGCGACCACATCATCGAGGTGGGGGCGCCGGGGGTAGCGCGGGGCGGGCGTTTCTCTGGGAGTCAATTTCATTTTACTATTATTATTTTTGAGAATAAATTTCATTTTATTACTATTTTTTTTGAGAATAAACTTCATTTTACTATTATTATTTTTGAGAATGAATTTCATTTTGTTGCTATTTTTTTTGGGAATAAATTTCATTTTATTATTATTTTTTTGACAATAAATTTCATGATTATTTTTTTTGAGAATAAACTGTATTTTATGATTATTATTTTTGAGATTGAATTTTATTATTTTTTTGAGAATAAACTTTATAATTATTTTTTGAGAATAAACTTTATTTTTATTAATTTTATTGTTATTTTTATCATTTTTCTGAGAACAAACTTTATTTTAGAACTTTATTTTTAGAATAAATTATATTTTATTATTATTTTTTTTTGAGAGTTAATTTTATTATTATTATTTTTGAGAATAAACTTTATTTTATGATTATTTTCTTTAGAATAATTTATATTTTATTATTTTTTTGAGAATAAATTTCATTTTATTATTATTTTTTTAGAATAAATTTCATTTTATTATAATTTTTTTGAGAATAAACTTTATAATTATTAATTTTATTGTTATTTTTACGCCCCCCGCCCGCGCAGGTCGTGGGCTCCTCCATGCCGCTTGTGGGCGACCACCAGGACGAGGACCGGATCCTCATCGCCGACCTCGTGCTCCACAAGATGGCGCAGGCACTGCCCCGGGCGCCACGGCAACCGCGGGAGGTCGCGACCCCAGCGCGGGGCCAGGTCGGTCACGTGACGCACGCACCGGGACTCCGTTTCCCACAATCCCCCGCGTCCCCCGACAGGAAGTGGGCGTCACGGACTCCGTTTCCCACAATCCCCTGCGTCCCCCGACAGGAAGTGGGCGTCACGGACTCCGTTTCCCACAATCCCCTGCGTCCCCCGACAGGAAGTAGGCGTCACGGACTCCGTTTCCCACAATCCCCTGCGCCCCCGACAGGAAGTGGGCGTCACGGACTCCGTTTCCCACAATCCCCTACGTCCCCCGACAGGAAGTGGGCGTCATGGACTCCGTTTCCCACAATCCCCTGCGTCCCCCGACAGGAAGTGGGCGTCACGGACTCCGTTTCCCACAGTCCTTTGCGCCCCCGACAGGAAGTGGGCGTCTCGGACTCCGTTTCCCACAATCCCCCGCGTCCCGAACAGGAAGTGACGTCGCAGGCCCCGCCCCCCGCGCTCACGGCGTCTCTCTCCCCCGCAGGCCCCGCCCCCCGTGGCCCCGCCCTCCGGCCGCCCGAGCTCCCAGCAGCCCCTGGGGCCCCCGGCTGCGCCGCGCCCGACCCCGCAGGGTGAGTGAGGGGGATTATTAATATCGTTATCGTTATTATTGTTATTATTAATATCGTTATCATCATTATGATTATTATTGTATGATTATTATGATTAATGTCGTTATTATTATATTATTGTGACTATGATTAAGATCATTATATTATTATGATTATATGATTATCATTATTATTATTATATGATTATTATGATTATTATCATTATTATTATGTGATTATGATTATTATATAATGATTATATGATTATTATCATTATTATATTATTATAATTATATGATTATTATCATTATTATATGGAGATTATTATGATGATATGATTATTATCGTTATTATATTATTATGATTATATGATTATTATCATTATTATTATCATTATTATTACATGATTATGATGATTATTGTTATGACTACTATATCATTATTATTATATGATTATTATGATTATTATTATTATGTGATTATGATTATTATATTATGATTATATGATTAATATCATTATTATTTTTACCACTATTATTACATGATTATGATAATTATTGTTATGACTACGATATGATTATTATTATATGATTATTATGATTATTATCGTTATTATTATTATCATATGATTGTTATGATTATATGATTATTATTGTGTGATTATTATGGTTGTTATTATATGATGATGATGATTATATCATTATTATGATTATTATATGATTATTATCATGATGATTATGATTATTATCATATGATTATTATCATTATCATTATAACATTATTACGAGTATTATTATGATTATTATGATCACGATGATTATGATTATATGATTATTATCATGATTATGATTATTATTATATGATTATTATCATTACCATTATAACATTATTATGAGTATTATGATTATTGTGATCATGATGATTATGCTTATTATATGATTATTATCATGATGATTATGATTATTATCATATGATTAGTATCATTATCATTATAACATTATTACGAGTATTATTATGATTATTATGATCACGATGATTATGATTATTAACATATGATTATTATCATTATTATTATAACATTATTACGAGTATTATTATGATCATTATATGATTATTATCATGATGATTATGATTATTATTATATGATTATTATCATGATGATTATAACATTATTACGAGTATTATTATGATTATTGTGATCATGATGATTATGATTATATGATTATTATGACGAAGATTATGATTAATAATATATGATGATTATTATTATCTGTTTATTATCATAATGATGATGACCATGACAGTGATTATCGTTATCGTTATGATTATTATGGATATTATGTGATTATGATTATTATGATGATGATTATGATTATGATTATTATGACTATGATTATTATGATTACTATTATTATTTTTATGATTGTGATCACGGTTATTGTTATCATTAGTTATTATTATTTATATTATTATTATTACTGTTATTACTATTAGTTATTATGATGATGATTATGATTATTATGACTATGATTATTATGATGATTACTATTATTATTTTTATGATTGTGATCACAATTCCTGTTATCATTAGTTATTATTATTATTTATATTATTATTACTGTTATTATTATTAGTTATTATGATGATGATTATGATTATGATTATTATGACCATGATTATTATTATGATTACTATTATTATTAGTTATTATGATCACTATGATGATTATTATGACTATGATTATTATAATTATTATGATCAATATTTTTATTAGTTATTATTAGTTGTATTATGATTACTATGATGATTATTATGATCATGATTATTATTATAATTACCATTATTATTAGTTATTATGATCATCATGATGATTACTATTATTATTTTTATGATTGTGATCACGGTTCCTATTATCATTAGTTATTATTGTTTATATTATTATAATTACTGTTGTTATTATTAGTTATTATGATTATTATTCGTATTATTGTTACTGTTATCATTCGTTATGGTTACTTGTATTATTATGATTACTATTGTCATTAGTTCTCATTGATATTATTATGGTTACTATTATCATTAGTCATTATTATTTGTGTTATTATTACTGTTATTATCATTATTGATATTTTGATTACTGTTATTATTAATTATTAATTATTATTGTTATTTATATTATTATTACTGTTGTTATTATTATTTATATTATTGTTAATTATTATTGTTATTTATATTATTATTACTGTTATTATTTATATTATTAGTTATTATTATCTGTATTATTAATTATTATTTTTTCTCTCCCCCCCCAGGGGGCCCCCCCCAGCCCGGCCCCCCGCGCCCCCCGCCGACCTCGGGGGGGCTCGCGCCCCAAACGGGCATCCCCCCGCCTCAGCTCTTACCCAGTCCCCCGGCGGCGATGACGACGACCCCGGGTCAAGGCCGCCAATCCCGGCCTCAGGCTCCGCCCGCCAAGGGGTCGGGGGTCGCGGTGACCCAGAAGCCCCCGGGGCCCGCGGTGACCCAGAAGCCCCCGGGGCCCGCGGTCACCCAGAAGCCCCCGGGGCCGGCCGTTACCCAGAAGCCCCCGGGGCCCGCGGTTACCCAGAAGCCCCCGGGGCCCGCGGTGACCCAGAAGCCCCCGGGGCCCGCGGTGACCCAGAAGCCCCCGGGGCCCGCGGTTACCCAGAAGCCCCCGGGGCCCACCGTTACCCAGAAGCCCCCGGGGCCCGCGGTTACCCAGAAGCCCCCGGGGCCCCGCCCCGCGCCGCCGCCCACCACCCAGCAGCCCCGGCCCAGCAAACCCCAGCTCAAGTGAGATTGGTTTGTTCGTTCATTATGCATGCGGCATGCTAATTTTATATTAATTATGCACGCGGTATGCTAATTTTCGTGTTAATTATGCATGCGGCACTCTAATTTTCATACTTGTTATGCATGCAGCATTCTAATTTTATAGTCGTTATGCACGTGGCATTCTAATTTTATATTTATTATGCATGCAATATTTTAATTTTTGTGTTTATTATGCACGCGGCACTCTAATTTCATGGTCATTATGCACGCGATATTCTAATTTTTGTATTTGTTATGCATGCGATGTTCTAATTTTACGTTGATTGTGAATGTGATATTCTAATTTTCGTATTCATCGGCGTGCAATATTTTAATTTTTATGTTTATTATGCGTGCGATATTCTCAATTTCGTATTCGTTATGCATGTGACGTTTTCATTTTTGTATTCGTTATGCATGCGGTGCTCTAATTTATATTCATTATGCATGTGATATTTTAATTTTCATATTCACTAAATCTTATAATGAAAAAAAATATAAAATTAGTGTGCAACACTCTAATTTATATTTGTTCATCATGCATGCGGCATTCTAATTTTATATTTACTTATTATGCATACAACACTCTAATTTTATATTTATTTATTATGCATACAACACTAATTTTATATTTATTATGCACACAATATTCTAATTTTACATTTATTTATCATGCACACACTATTCTGATTTTATATTTATTTATCATGCACACACTATTCTGATTTTATATTTATTTATCATGCACACACTATTCTAATTTTACATTTATTTATCGTGCACACACTATTCTGATTTTATATTTATTTATCATGCACACACTATTCTGATTTTATATTTATTCATTGTGTCTGCAACATTCGAATTCATCTTCGTTCATTATGCACGCGGTATTCTAATTTTCGTATTCATTACGCATGCAGTATTCTAATTTTATGTTTATTTGTTCATTATGTGTGCAACACTCTAATTAATATTCGTACAGCGTGTGTGGAGCATCCTGATTTTATGTCTATTTATTATGCATGCCGTATTCTGATTTTTATGTTTATTCATTCATTATGCACGCAGTATTCTAATTTTATGATTGTTTCGCGTGCAATATTTTAATTCTATATTTATTTATCATGGATACAATATTCTAATTCTATGTTTATTTATAATGCACACGATATTCTAATTTTATATTTATTATGCATGCAATATTCTAATTTTATATTTTATGCATACAATATCCTAATTCTATATTTATTTATAATGTACACAATATTCTAATTTTATGTTTATTTATTATGCACACGATATTGTAATTTTATATTTATTATGTACACAATATTCTAATTTTATATTTATTCATCGTGTCTGCAACATTCTAACCCATCTTCGTTCATTATGCATGCGATACTCTAATTGTATATTTATTTATTATTTATCATCTGTGATCACTGACCGACTCACGGATCGCGTGTTTGTTGACCGACTCACGGATCGCGTGTTTGTTGACCGACTCTCTGATCGCGTGTTTGTTGACCGACTCTCTGATCGCGTGTTTGTTGACCGACTCTCTGATCGCGTGTTTGTTGACCGACTCTCTGATCGCGTGTTTGTTGACCGACTCACGGATCGCGTGTTTGTTGATCGACTCCCGGGCGTCTTTGTCTCCAGAGCGCAGGCGCAGCCGTAGCCGGGGACGCGACGGAGGCCGAGAGCGGAGGTCGCTGTGCGCGGCCTCGAACCCCGGACCGAACCCCGGATCCTCCCCCCCGCATCCCGACACAAACCCCGTCGCGGGCGTCCAGGGTGCGAGTCCCCGAACTCCCGCGGGGGAAACCCTCGGCGCCCGAACCCCTGAGCCGCCCCGCCAGCCCCTCCATTATTTATTCATTTATTATTTATTATGTGTACGACTCGAACTCGGGACCCCGGGCCCGAATCGCCCGCTCCCAGGATCCTTGGCCCTCGCGCTCGGCGCCCGCGACTGACGGCCCGACCCCCCCCTGCCGCGCCCGTGGTGACGTATGCAGTGGCGATCTATGTGTGCTCCGCCCCCCCCCCTGCTTCCGCCCCGGACTCGCCCCGCTTCCCCCCCCCCCCGCTCCGCACCCCAGTATTCGCGTCAAATAAACGACGTCGAGGCACGAGGCTCCGAGTTCGATTCTTACCGCGCGCATCCCCGCGGTCCCGGGTGCGAGTCTCGCAGGGGAAAAAAAAATCTCAATTTTTGGGGGGTGGGAGGGGGGGTGTGGGGGGGTCCCCCAAATTTCCCAGCGTGGGGGGGTCGGGACCCCCACCCCCGGAGAGGCGGCGTCAACACCCGGCGGTCCCGAGTTCGAGTTCCCGGGTTCGCGTTCCCGCAGCGGCGGCCCCGAGTGCAAATGTTTGTGGAGGACTCACGGATCGACTATCAGATCGGGACTCGCACCCTGGACCACCCGGGCGTTGACCCCGTCTCCTAGACCTGTGGGTGGGGGGTGTGGACCCCGACTTCCTGCGGGGGATGGGGGGCAAATAATTTATATTTATTTATATTTGTTTTATATTTTTATTTATATTTATTTTATATCTATTTATAGTTATTTATATTTATTTTATATTTATTTTACATTCATTTATATTTATTTTATATTTTTTTATCTTTATTTGTATTTATTTTATTTTACATTTACTTATTAGACATGCAATATTTTTATATTTATATTTATTTTATATTTATTTATAGTTATTTTATATATATTACGCATACGATATTTTTATATCTATTCATATTTATTTTATATTTATTTATATTTATTTATTTATTTATTTTTTTAATAATTTTTTTATTAAGAAAAGAAGAAAAAAAACATAAACAAAAAACAAGTTTCCACCTCCTCCCAGCCTCCCATTTCCCTCCCCCTCCTCCCACCCTTCTCCCCCTCCTCCCACCCTTCTACCCCTCCCCCCACTCCTCTCCCCCTCCCTCTCCAGTCCACAGAGCAGTCCAGGTTCCCTGCCCTGTGGTAAGTCCTAGGTCCTCCCCCCTCCGTCCATATCTAGGAAGGTGAAAATCCAAACTGGCTAGGCTTCCACAAAGCCAGCACATTAAGTAGGATCAAAACCCCGTGCCATTGTCCTTGGCGTCTCATCAGCCCTCATTGTTCGCCATGTTCAGAGAGTCCGGTTTTATCCCATGCTTTTTCGGTCACAGTCCAGCTGGCCTTGGTGAGCTCCCAGTAGATCAGCTCCACTGTCTCAGTGGGTGGGTGCACGCCTCGTGGTCCCGACTTCTTTGCTCATGTTCTCCCTCCTTCTGCTCCTCATTGGGACCTTGGGAGCTCAGTCCAGTGCTCCAGTGTGGGTCTCTGTCTCTGTCTCCATCCATCACCAGATGAAGGTTCTATGATGATATGCAAGATATTCGTCAGTATTGCTCTCGGATAGGGTCATTTCAGGTTCCCAATCCTCAGCTACCCAAGGAACTAACTGGGAACCTCATGTTGGGCACTTGGGAGCCCCTCTAGGGTCAAATCTCTTGCTCACCCTAAAGTGGTTCCCTTAACTAAGAATTGTGGTTCCGTGCTCCCCTATCCACCTTTCCTTTATCCCAATTCTCCTGATTCCCCAAATCCCCCCTCCTTCCCTTCTACCTTTTCTCTCCCCATCTCCCCTTACCCCCATCCCACCCCACCCCCAAGATCCTAATTTTCTCCCCGGCAATTGGGTCTACTTCCCTTAGCCAAGAGGATAACTATATGTTTTTCCTTGGGTTCACCTTCTTACTTAGCTTCTTTAGGTTCACCTATTGTAGACTCCGTGGCCCTAATTTATGGCTAGAAACCAATCATTATTTTTCTTAATTTTTTTCAATTTGTTTTTTTTTTAATTTTTATTTATTTTTAATTTTTCTTATTTTTTTTTATTTTTATAAAATGGCAGTAAATCATTAACAATATTCTCTGTGAAGTAACTATTAAGGTCATTCAGCTAGAGAGAAGAGACGGAGAGTGAATAGAGAGTTCTCAAGGAAAATACCGACTGTTTATCAGTGACTTTGAGAAAATGTATTAATAAACTATGAGTACTCTAAGTCATCAAATTCCATCAGACAGCTCTTAGAGGGATAAAGAATCGAGCAGAAGAGAGACAGCTTTTCCAGCTACCCAGGCAATCCCAAGTCTTTCCAAACTAGACATATAAGTTAAATTTGGACATACAGTTATAGCTTGCGAGTATTAGAAGAGGCAAGAAGATTAGAAGGAATAAAGACATAGGACTGTCTCAAGCACTCAGATTATATATTCTGCTAACAGAAAACAAAGCCATGTTGTTTGGTTGTTTTAGCAGTCCGAGTAGAAGAGGATAAATTAAATCACTGGGAATTTTATTCCTTCTGCTGTTTTCGCAAGGGAAGTGTCCTTGTCAATGGTTTGGAAAGAGCTGAAGAGTTGGCTCAGTGAACACAGCGCTTGTCTTACAAGCATGAGACCCTGAGCTAGATCCCCATAACCAGGCCTGATGCTGCGGTGTGCTTGTAATCCCAGCAAAGGAACAGTTTAAGGAACTCAAGTTTATATTGAAAAGAAATTAGATGCATTTGTGTTGAAATTAGTCTATGAAGCAAGGGAAGCTTAAAGTTTTATAATTCAGAGTAGAAAAAGACGTAGAGTTTTCCACAGTTGAAGTAACTCCACAGTTGCTATAACCCAACAGTCTGAGACTCAGATTTCTCTTCTGAATCAGGGCCTCAGCTTGCCTGCTTTTCTTCTTCAGTTCCCAAATAACAAAGCTTAGAGATAAAGGCCAGAGAATTATTAATTTTGTGCATTTCTGAAATGAGTCTCTTACATAATACCTACTTTTGTCATATTCAGAATAAAGCAAAACACAGGTGTCAGCTGCCCGAAGGCTTTTTGAGGACCCAGAACTTTGTGGTTGGTGGAGAGAAAATTGACTCTGTTAAGAGTCAACATAAATGTGACTGAAGAGCTTCACTATAAAGAATAGCCACTGTTTCCCCATAGAAATGGGATTTTTCAAACCATAGAGAAGGGACAAAACGCAGGTATTATGGTAATGAAAGGAACGTTCATCAATGGCTTTTCAGAACCTGTTTGGCCATTAAATGCCCAATTTTAACAAGTGGGTCCTTGTAGCTTGTGTAATGTGACTGAGCCCACTGTGCTGTGGAGTCCACACAGCTTTCCGCCAGCATCTCCTTGGAAAAAGTATGAAAGGCTAGTTTGAGTAAGGAGCCAGGAGAAAGAAAAAAAAAAATCTCAATGTGATTTTCATTGTCTAACTCCTCTATCTTAAATACTGATAAATATTTCTGGAGCTTGTGTGGAGATATGCCATCTAAAATTATTTTATGACTATTAAAGTCAACTATACCGTACTGATGAGAATTACTTAATGAAAAACCAATTACTTTACTGAAAAACTAACAGAGACCAAGCTCAGATCCATAGAAATGGAATAAAAGCCAACAGTTTGTGGAAGTATTAGGTATTCTATACTCAGTGGATAGGTTAAGATTTTAAATGTTTTGAACAAACTATGAATAAATCATAAAATGGTTTTGAGCTGTCTGTAGCTCACTGCTTCCTGTAAGTCAAATAAAAAATTTGGACACTCATAAATCCGGGAACATTCCAGAGTACTAAACAGACTGGCTTAATACTTTCAAAATTTTAACTGGGTGACATTAAGGTATATTCAAGAATGAAAATCATTGACCAAAACCAAGCAAACTATCAGGGAGGCAGGATTTGTCAATAGTTTTGTTCAAATAAATGCTATTTGCAAGGCATAAGATTTTAAAGCCAAAGGTGTTTGCCTTTAAATTACATAGTGCTACATTATGTCAGGAAGAACTGTTGACAGAGGCTGCTTGTTTGCTTCTGGCTGCCCAGACCATGAAATAGACACCCAGAAACTATATTATTTAAATCAGTGCTTAGCCAATTACTTAAGTGTATTTCTGGCTAACTCTTATATCTTAAAATAACCCATTTCTATTAATTATGCATCACCGTATGACTGTGGCTTACCCTCAAGGTTCCAGTGCACCTATCTCCTGAAGGTGGCTACATGGTGTCTCCCAGCATTCAGTTTAGTTTCCCCATCTAGTACTATTCTGCTAAGCCACTGGCTGAACTAGCTTTATTCATTAACCAATAATAACCGCACACATACAGAAGGACTTCCCACTCTATGTAAATAAAAAAAAGTTGTAACTTTAACAAAGCAATTTTTTTTTTCGAGACAAGGTCTCTCTGTGGCTTTGGAGCCTGTCCTGGAACTAGCTCTTGTAGACCAGGCTGGCCTCGAACTCCCAGAGATCCGCCTGTCTCTACCTCCCGAGTGCTGGGATTAAAGGCGTGAGCCACCACCTCCCAGCTTAACAAAGCAAAGTTATATACAACAAAATAGTTACCAAACAAGAATTATAGTTACAACATTTAGTCCATTTACATTTGGCTAATTAAGGAAAATACTCTATCATCTATCTTATTTTGTGAGTCTAAAGTTTTATATGTAATCTATTCTTTATAATTATAAATATTTTTCTTCAAGTCCATGAAAGACTCCAGAAGCATATAAAATTACCTATGTAAACATAAAGTGCATTGTACATAACTTCCAAAACTCTAGAATTAACAGAGACATCTTGCTGCCTGGACAGTCACCCAAAGCTGTTCTGTAACTTTGGAATATCCATCTTCATCCTACTGACCCATAACATCTGACAGACTTTTCTATGAAGAAGGAAATTTCAAAAACTGTTTCACCTATATTGACAGTTTGTCAGTCACTTTCTTCTGGGTCCTGCAGAAT